GTCCCCTCTCCGGACCCTCCCCGGCGCCCATGGGGCAGCCCTCACGCCCCTGGGCGCTGGCACCCGTCAGGCCCCCGGGTTTGGGGAGAGGCAGCTGCCGCCCCGCGCCTGCCCCGCGCCGGCTGGGGATGCGCCCCGCGCGGAGGAGAGGCTCGGCGGCGACCCCCGGGGCAGGCTCGCTCCCGCGCCGCCGGCGGGCTCTCCTGGCCGCGGGCCGCCGGCGCCCCTCCCCGGCCGGCGTCCCCGCCAGCACTGCCTCGCTGCACCTTTAAGAGCCGCGGCGGCGGGCTGGCGGCCACACGGAGGAAGTTACGCAGCCCGATCGGACCGGGAGATAAAAGCGGCGGCGCGATGGCAGGCGGACCCTGCAACTCGGAGCCGCGCGCAGGGGCAGCCTGAGCGCCCCGCCGTCTGGCCCGCGCCCGCGGGGGATGCCCCGGCGCCCCGGGGACCAGCCGCCCAGCCCGCCGGGGCCGCGGGCCGCCGGGCGCCCGGGCGCGGGTCCCCTCCGCGCCGCCCGCGGGGACCCAAAAGTTTGCACTTGTTAGCGGCGCCCTCCGCGCCGGGCGGCGGGCGATGCGGGCGGCGCGGGCGGCCCCCGGCCCCGGCCCGCGGCTCCGGGACGGCGGCGCGCGGCCCCCCCGGCGGCCCGAGGGCTCCCCGGCTCCGCGCTGACGGCGGCGGCGGCCTCGGCGGCGGGAGCGGGAAGGAGCGCGGCCTGCAGCCTCCGCCCTCCCCCCAGCGCCGCCCGAGGGGAGGCGGGGCGCGGCGGGGCGTCCTCGGTCCTCCGTCCTCCGCCCTCGCTCCTCGGCCTCCGGGGCTCCGCGCGGGCAGCGCTCCGAGCCGAGCCGGTAAGGCGGGCGGGGAGCCGGGAGGCGCGGGGGAGCGGCTGCGGCTTCCAGGGCTCCGCCGCCGGGCGGGCTCCGGGGCCGGGCGGACGCCGCCGCCGGCGGCTCGGAGGCAAAAGTTATTCAGTGGCGGCCGCGGCGGGGCCGGCCGAGGGGGTGCGGGGCGCGTGGCAGCGGCGCCTTAGGGGGTCGCTGGGCTGGGGGCCGGCTTTCCCCGCCCGGGTCTCTCTCCAGCGTGTGCGTGTGTGTGTGCATGTGTGTGTGCGTGTGCATGTGTGTGTGCATGTGTATGTGTGTGTGCATGTGTGTGTGCATGTGTATGTGCGTGTGTGTGTGGATCCCAGGGGTGTTGCGAGAACGCCTGGGTGTGTTTGCGAAGAGGAAACTAACCCTTCCCTCCAGCCCGCGCCCCCCTCCCCGCTCCCCTGCACCCGGGACTGGGAGCCGCGGGGAACTCCGCCGCCCGGACTGGAAACTTCTTTCCCGCAGGGGCGGGGCGGGGCGCGGAGGGGGCCCGGGGGCTCCTGAGAGGCGGCCTGGGACAGCGGCGCCGGTGGGGGAAGGAGCCGCGGGACGGCGGGCAGAGGATGGGGCTCCGGCTCCCCATCCACCGGAGTGAGTGCCCGCCCGCGGGAGGCGGCAGGCGGGAGGCGCGGGGAGCTGGCCGCCCGGCGTCCTCGGAACCGGGAGGCTGTACCGGCCAGGGCGCACCCCGGCGGCCCGGCCTCGCCCGGAGCCGGTTCTGCATCGTCCCCGGGCCTCGCCCCCGACTCCGGAGGCAGCAGCAGCCGCGGGACCCCGGCACCTCCGTGCGCTGAGCCGCCGCTCGGCGCCCCCGGAGCGAAGCGCGGACCCCGGCCCCGGAGCCGCCGCCCCGCGTCCCGCCCCCAACTTTCCGGGGCTCCGCGGTCTCGGAGGGCGGAGAGGGGTCGCCGGGAGCCAGGGAGGCTCTGGTTCCCGGACTGGGGCGCCGGCGCCTCCGCACCCGGATGCCCGCTGAGCCTGCGGTGAGCGGGGCGCCCCCTGGACCCGGCCCGGGGCGGGGAGGGGAGAGGCCGGGGACGGGCGGTAGCCCCGGGCGACCCCCCCTTTCTTCCCGGCACCACCCCCAGAGGCAGGGTCACCCTCCGCGGCTGCCCCGCTGGGAGGGGAGAGGGACCTCGGGGGCCGGGTCCCTGGAGAAGCCCCAGCACCCCCTCCGGGGACCCCCTCCAGCACCCCTTCCGGGGACCCCGGGGTCCCGCGCCCTCGGCGGCGGCGGCGGCCAGGACCCCACGAGGCGAGGGAGCGGCGGCCGGTCCGGGAGGAGCGGCTCCCGGCTCCGCGAGGCGCTAATTCAATCAGACACAGAGCGGAGTTCAGAAATCCTGGTGAAATCTAATTTTCGGGTTTTAATACCCTGGCTATCAGCCCCCCTCGGCCCCGAGGACTCTTAAAAGAAAATAAAGCGCATCCATCCCATTTGTTTCGGAGGCTGCAGTTTCTTAATAACAGCAGGTGAGATTCTTTTCCGGGGAGAAGCGTTCCTCTGGATACAAGCTCTTCCTCTGAAATTCCCCGCCGCCGCCGCCGCCGCCGCCGGCTCCCCTCGGCTCTCCGCCTCCCCAGCCCCATCCCGATCCCCATCCTGGAGTGTAGTCCCTCCGCCCCCTCCCTGTTTTGCTTTTTGGCAAAAACAACTGTCATGTTCTCGTGCTGATTTCACAACTCCCCTACGGCAGCGCCCAGTTGATGGACTAGTTGTAAACATATCCATTACCCGGATTTGGTGGTTGTCCGCCCCATATTCCAGGGAATGCGTGGCAAGGAAGCCAACAGAACTGCCATGCGGACACTGGATGTGCCAGTGGCCCGGGCACCGCCTGCCCCGGCCTCCCGGCCTGCCCTCCCCTCCCCCAGTGCCCACCCGGCGCCGCCCAGCTGGTCTCGCAAGTGCAGGAGCCGGAGCCCCCCCGCTGTCCGGGGAGCCCCTACCTGTTAGGGAACCGCTGGGACCCGGGCTGGAAGGATTCACTGGGGACCCGCTGTTTTCGGGGCGGCACAAAGCTCACTTGGGTAGAAGCATCCAAACCTTTGCAGGCCGCGCTTATTTTATTTTTACTACAGTTTCTCGGGTTGTAAAAATAGTCGCCAGGCGGGTTCTCTCGGAGAGTTTTCCAGCCAGGAGCGGATTCAAGGCCGGGCAGCCTCGATAGCAGGTTTCTCTTAACGGCCCCCTCCCCCTCATCCATCTCCATCGAGCGGCTCCAGCCAGCCTGCGGGCAGGGGCCGCCTCCTTAATTCAGATTTACGACCGGCCCAGCTCAGGGCGCTGGCTGCTGAGTGGCCAGGCCCCAGGGACCATGCCGGCCCTCCCAGTGAGGGCAGGAGTGCTGATTGTGTCTGGGAGGAGAATGGGGTTTGGTGGAAACGAGCTGACCCCTCAGGGGCCCTCTGGGAACAGTGGCTGGAGCGATGTCGGGGAGCCTGGCTGGCTCGCACCTGCTGCAGCCCTCGGGGGACTTAGCTGCCATTACTGCCGACATGAGAACGGGGATCCTTAGTAACACAGGGCCGCTGCTGTGACTCACCCCGGTGACCTTTGCCCCGTTGGCTCCTGTTTCTGGCTGGACTCCCCCCCCCCCCCCCCCCCCCGTGATGTATCTGCCCCCCGCCTGGAGCACAGCACATTACCCGGCTCGGTGTTTCGCAATAGGACATCCGTATTAGTCACATCTATTTGGGCTTTTTAAGATAATTGCCAGGAGCTTAAAATAGGAAAGCCATAATCATAAAAGGGACCCGTTTATAAACAGGCCCTCCACGGATGGTTTGCAAAACGTTGGCCTCGATCAGAAAATCCAAATGACAGAGTGCTGTCACTTCTGTCCAAGTCTTCCCCGTCCCTCGTTCCTTCGTGTGGGACACAAAACGCCCGCCTCCGAGCGCGGAGCGGCGTGTATTCCACCCGCTGACCCGCTCTGGGCCCTCGGTCCACTGTCCCCACAGCCCATCGGCAACTGGGGGGACAGTCCCATCTCCGAGCTGACGTTTTGACTGGTCCATCGGGGTATTTTAAAGCCACCGTTCACGCTCGGCTGCTGGGGACGTTTTTTAGGGAGTCGCCGACCCCAAGCAAAGGCACCTGTGCCGGCCTGACGCCCCCATCCCGGGAGCAGAAGACGCAGCACCTTTTCCATGATGTGCAGCTCCGAAATTAATAAAAACAACCCCGTTCCCTCCAGAGGCCTTGCTAATGCAGCCTCATTCTTCGCACATTTTTGCCAGCGAGCTTTGTTCTTCTCCGTCTCCGTCCCCCCTTCCTCTCCGTTTAATTTGTTGCAGGTGTTGTGGCTAATGAGCTCTCGTTCCCTCTTACAATGAGAGACCAGCCAGACCCTGAGTCCCCGCACGGACGGAGCTGAAGTCCCAGAAACTTCCTAATAAGTTGCCCATGGCTACCGGCCAAGGTCAGCCGGCCCCCATTAGTGCCGGCCCCACGGAGGCAGAGCCAAATAACCGCCCTGTTAGCACCTCGCCGCTTTTTTATGTGCCAGTCCAGCCGCACAGCCGCGGTCACTTTCAGCTCACAGGAAAGGAAACCCTTTCGCGGGCCTGAGACGCCACGTTCAGTCCCGCGGGGGGGGACCGGGTTCCCAGCGCACACGTCCACCCCCTGATTCCGTTTTATCTCTACACAGGCCAGCGGGCTGTTTTGTAAGCGTGGCGAGCACATCGCACACGAAGGGCCTTTTAAAGCCCGGGACTGGCTGGAAGGACAGAAGCTAAAGGCGCTCTGAGCCGGCCCCATGCCAGGTCCCCGCGGATCGCCTCCCTATCCCGTTTCCACCCGCTGTCACCGCCGGAGCGCCTGCCGTTGTTGATCAGGTTCCCCTGCGAGAGAGGTGGAATGCCAAGGTCAGGAGGACTCCGAGGGATGGGCCACTGTCGGATCTGCCCATCAGCAGTCTGAGAAACGCTGGCTCTGAGCTTTCCTCCCGGCCTTTGGGGAAAGGCAAGTTCCTCGCTGCTCCCCGGCCACGCCGGCCGGGACCACCGCCTCCGCCGCCTCCACGCCTGGCAGATGCGGCCTTTCCATGCGGAGGCCTCCGGTCCCGCCTGACCCAGCCGCCGCTCCAGGGCCCCTCGGGGCGCCCCCCGGCCTGCGCAGCCATGCTGGGCCTGCTGGCTCTCCTCCTGCACTGCCTCCCGCTGGCCGCCTGGGACTATGACATCTGCAAGTCCTGGGTGACCTCGGACGAGGGCCCCACCTGGGAGTTCTACGCCTGCCAGCCCAAGGCCATGCGCCTGAAGGACTATGTCAAGGTGAAGGTGGAGCCAAAGGGCATCACGTGCGGAGACCCCCCGGAGAGGTTCTGCTCCCACGTAAGTCAGCCCACGGGGCTCTGCTTGCTCGGTCAATGGGGGCGCCCGGGACGGACCCCGGGAATGGGTGAGCAGGGTGGGGGGGGGGCAAGGTGAAAGGTTGATTGAACGCAGTTTGGAGTCTGTCCCTCCTTGGAAACGTGCCAAAGCGGAGGCCGCCCTGAGGACCCCGGGGTCATGTGACTTATTCTCTGGGGTGGGGGAGGTCTTACCCAGGGGACCGCTAGATCCTCTTCTGTTGGGAAAACCATTGTTGTCGCAGACCCAGCCTCCCAGACAAGCCCCGCCCACCAGACAAGCCCCGCCCCCTGGTAGGAAGTCTGCATTCTGTGCCAGTGAGCAAGGCTACCTGCTGCCCTCCCTTCAGCCTCCCAGCCTCCTATCCCACCTGATCCAATCCAGCAAGCAGTGCAGCCAGGCGAGGGTGTGCCACGCCCACAGCTGGCACTTTGGGGGGGGGGAGAGTGGGGGTAGGGTTGTGATACAAGGACAGAGGGCCCTTTTCAATTCCATGCCCTGTGCCTCAGGGTATGTCAGTGCTCAGGTAACGTTACAACAACAGTAATAGCAGCAGGGGTCATTTACACAGGCGATTCCCCCATCTGTGAAATGGGCACACGGAGAGCACACTCCGGTCACTGTAAGGAATGCGTGAGCTGCTTTGTATGTGTGAAGTGCTCGGGCTAGTGTCTGGCACAGGGCACGTGCCCCCTAGATGTTAGCGGTTGCCATTCTCACCATACAGATGGAAAAACTGAGGCCCACACTCTCACACCAGGGAGTACTCTGGACCCCAAGCCACTGAGCTGAACCACCGTCCGAGAATGCCTTCCCGCTGGGCTTGCTCCGGAAGCCCAGGGCCTGGCAGGGGCCGGGCAGGGCGGCCAGGCTGAGGGAGCTCACGGGAGGGCTCGGCACCGGCCTCAGGCTGGCTGCTGCCTCTGTGTCCTTGGGGGAGGGCCCCCCCCCATCTCTGGGTTTATGGCTGGACTGAGCTGGCGTCCCTGCCAGGCTCCCGCGGAGGCTCGGTCCCCAGGGACGCTTCAGTCCTCTGCCAGGGCAGCCGGCCAGGCAGGTCGGTCCCGCTCGGTGGTGAAGTCATGAGCTGTCACTGTGGCAGCGCTGGGCTGGGGAGGAGGGACAGCGGGAAGGCTGGGAGCTGGGGCTGGAGCGTCTGTGGGGATCAGAGCACTGGGGACCCCAGAGCGGCACTGGCAAGGAGGCTGGTCCCGGAGGGTCGGGGGCAAGGCCAGGGGGACCCCAGCTCCGTGTCCGCACCCCAGGCTGCTGCCCACCCAGCTCAGGTGAGGACTTCTGTGCACACTTCCCGGGCAGTCAGCCTCTGCCTCTCGGATTAGTCTTAACCGTATTTCTCCTCTTAAATATTAATCATTTCCTTAAAGTGCTGGCGGGGGAGGGCAGGCCGCTCAGTCGTCATTCCCTGGAGCAGCTGAGGTCAAGGCCTGCAGGAGAGGGGATGACCATCGCCTGCAAGCCCCCGGCCTCTCTGGCCAAGGCGGCCGGATGCCCTTGGCCCTGGACCTCGGCCCTCCGCAGAGAGCCCAGCGCAGCTGCCCGGGTGGCTGGTCACCCCACAGTCCTGAGGCCCAGCAGCCCGAGCTCAGGCAGGTGCCCTGGAGCCCTGGGCTTGGGAAGAGGCTTCCGACCCCCACTTTCCTCCTGGGGTGAGGGAGGAGGCAGGGGAGGAGAAGGGCACTCAGCACCCCTTCCTCGCGGGTCCTTGGTGTCTCGCCTCCGGTCTGATGGACAGAGCTGCTTCGTGCCAGGCGGCCGGCGGCTCTGTCTTTGGTGACAGATGTGCCACGTTGGGTGGAGGGCAGGCTGCCTTGGGCAGGGGCCTGGCCTCTGCAGGGAGGAGGGGTCCCCCCAGATGGATTCCACCCCCCGCCCCCACCCCCTGGCTGGTTGCAGCTCCTCCAGCAGGGCCTGCTGTCCCTCGGACACGGTGGCGCAGGCGCCGTCCTAATCCCAGTCCAGGGATTAGAGGTTTTACCTAAATCCTGCCAAGGTCACTGGGGCTGAGAGGCAGCTGGGAACCCACCCCCAGGCGGCTGGCTCTCCCCTCTCCCCGCTGAGGGCTCCTGCTGTGCCATGGTGCTGGGCAAGGACGCAGCCGGCCGTGTGCCCGGGGTCAGTGCTGGCGCTCAAGGTGCAGTACTGTTATTTGCTTCCATTGTTGTTGTTATTCCCTTGGCGGCTTCCCTGCCTTTTTTCTTTGCCTCACTCCTGCCAGGAGCATGTCCAGAGTCAGAGCGGGCAGCTCCCACCCCTCCAGCCCAGCAGGGGCTGTTAACCGACCACCAGGGGGCGCCCCAATGACAGTCAGGCGGCCCACTGCCCCCTTAACCCAGCCATGGCCCAGCAGGTCCCTCTTCCCAGGCAGCCCCCCTGCAGCGGGTGCTGGGCTGTCAGGAGCCTGAGCCCCAGAGCACCCTGGGAGTGAAGGGAGGAGGGAGGGCAGGGGCGGCTGCGCTATTCAAGGTTCAGGGTGCAGACCCTCTCCGCCCAGGCTTTGTCCTTCAGCAAAGCCCCCTGAGAACCGCATTGTGAATTCCAGCCGGTGAGGAGGGGAGGGAGAAGGAAGACCAAGATAAATGAGTAAACAGAAGCCTAAGTGCACAATGAGAATTAATAGGGGTGCTTGGCCCGCAGAGGGCTCTTGGGCGAGGCCACGGTTTCAACCAGGCTGCCGGGAGGAGACGCCCCCCCAGCCCTCACTCCCAGCCCGGCCTGGGGCCCAGAGAGGCGTCTCGGTCCTGGGGGGCTGCCGCTTGGACCCCGATGGGATGGGGGTGCAGTGGGCACAAGGAGCATGCTCCCCAAGAGATGGCAGCTGCCAAGAAAGGAAGGGGGACCCTGCCCCTGCCTTTGAGACAGAAGCTAGCCCTGAGCTCCAGGAGGGAGATGGCGGAGTGGGGTGGGCATAGCATCAGCCACAGAGCAGGCAGGTGATGCTCACAGCCACCCCACAGCTCCCCACATGCCACCCACGTGCAGGCCTGGGCCCGGCAGCCTGGCTCCTCGCTGGGTGTGCAGAGTGCCCGCCCGCCCGGGGCTGTGGGAGCTGCTGGCCCAGGGGACAGGATGCAGGCGGGCGTGGTCTGAAGATGCCGTCCCCCTCGCCGGCCAGTGTCACCGCCGATGGCTGACGTGCCGGGGTCTTTCGGGCTAAGGGGGTGGTCGCTGCTGAGGGAGAAATGCACAGAGTGCAGGGGCCCGGGACTGAGCGGACGGAGCCAGGAGCGGAGACCCCTGCATGCTGGAGACAGGTAGAAGGTTCCAGAGAGAGGAGGCCTCATACCCCAGCAAGAGCCACAGGCCTGGGATCTGAAGGCTTTGGCACTCCACTCGGGCGTGGTGACCTGGGGTGAGTCTGAAACTGCTGGAGCCTCCATTTCCCCATCTGCGATGAGGGACAGTGGTGGCTGCACCCTTCCCACCAGCCTCCTCTCTCAGAAACCTCCTGTGCGTGGAGGGCGTACGCTCTGATCCCCTGTGAGGCTTCCTACTTCCACCTCCTCAGGCTTTTGTCTCATAGTTTCTAATGATTCCAGAGAAGCAGAGAGAGAGATAGAAACAGCGATGAGAGAAACATCGGTCGGCTGCCCCCTGCTGCCCCCTACTGGGGATCAAACCCACAATCCGGGCATGACCTCCTGGTTCTAGGTCAATGCTCAACCCCTGAGCCACCCGGGCCGGGCTCATTCACCCAATCTTGACAGTCCTGCTCCTCCCATGGGGACACGGATGGCCTTGCAGGGCGTGTGAGGGCGCTCACACACAGGGGCTTGGTCTGGTGGACGGGGAAGCCGTGACAGCACATCTCTAAGCACACACCTCCCTCGACCCCTGCTTTCCCTTCTCTTGCCTCAGTTTACCCAGATGCAGAGCAAATGGCCCTCATCCTTCCCCCAGGCCCAGGGGTCTGCTCAGCTGGTTAACGCAGGGGCCAGGTGGGCCTTGGAGGCCTCACGTCCCTCCCCACCGTGACATTGAGCACCACGTGGTGCCCCACCTCCTGCCCGACCTCCATGTTCAGACAGTGTTTCCGAGGTGACCAGCCCCCTCCCCGCGCTCCCCCTGGCCCACCCAAGCCCACAGAGGAGAGTGGGGGCACCCTCCCTCTCCGCCTCCCTCCCTCCTTCCCGCGTCCCTCCCATCCTCCCTTCCTCCCTCTGGGCCCCTCCCCAGTCCTAGACCTGAGGTCTGACCTCACATCAGGCAGGAGTTGGGAGGAAATGTGAGATAACTCTTGCAAATCCAAGTCAGCAACGAGAGGCACAAAACGGACGTTAGAGACAAAGGCTCCCCTCCCGCCATTTCCCCTCCTGGCCTGTCTCCTTCACCTCCGCTTCCGTAGCTTCCTCGCTTCTGAGGCTCCCCGTGTACCCGCGTCACCTGTGCCCACCTGGGCTCCCCGTGTACCCGCGTCACCTGTGCCCGGGCTCCCCGTGTACCCGCGTCACCTGTGCCCGGGCTCCCCGTGTACCCGCACCACCTGTGCCCGGGGCTCCCCGTGTACCCGCACCACCTGTGCCCAGGCTCCTCATTTACCCGTGTCACCTGTGCCTGGGCTCCCCGTGTACCCGCGTCACCTGTGCCCGCCTGGGCTCCCCGTGTACCCGCGTCACCTGTGCCCGGGGCTCCCCGTGTACCCGCGTCACCTGTGCCCGGGCTCCCCGTGTACCCGCACCACCTGTGCCCGGGCTCCCCGTGTACCTGCGTCACCTGTGCCCGGGCTCCCCATTTACCCGTGTCACTTGTGCCCGGGGCTCCCCGACCCCCAGCGCAGGGGGGTGAGCGCACCCCCACCTGGGCACCTCCTGTCACTGCTCTCATGGAGGCGGCCCATTGGGTAGGAGTTGAGGCCCCGAGGGCACAGAGGTAGAGGTTAGCATCCCGGGCTGTGTTACCTTTGATGTGAGGCTGACCTCTCTGAGCCTTACTTCCTCACACCAGAGCTGTTGATAGCACACACA